CTTCCTTCCTTCCTTCCTTCCTTCCTTCCTTCCTTCCTTCCTTCCTTTTTATTTCTTTCAAGGCAACTCCTGTCACAAGTGATGTAACCCCTTCAAAGTCTTTGGAAAAGATTTCATCCCATTTGTATGGAATAAGACTTCGCAAGATGGCCTTCAGCTCCTACTCACACTCATTACTCTGAGGTTTGTTGCCGCTGTCATATCTATTCCATCAAAATATTTCCAGGTGCACTAAAATCTAGTGGAAGATTATTGTTCATTGGACAAAATCATGTAGCCATAGTAGGACAGAATCCTACTGTAGGACAGCCAAGCTGTGACATGGGGGCCAAAAACAATGCTGGGTCCATTTACTGATTATTTGGCCTCCTAATTCTCTGCATCCTTCTGAAAACAGAAAGAAAGTCTTATGGTAACTTGTTGGGAATCAGAAAATCTCCAAATTCAGAAAAGCCAACTTTGTTTAAATCTTGTTTAACAGAGGGATTACAATGATAGGGTGCCGTGTGTAGAGATAGAGTAAGTTCAAAAGCAAAAAAAATATTGGACCAAAATACAAAATGATAAAACAAAATATTGATTTAAAACCAGACACATTTCTATTGGGGATCCTACCCGAAGAATATAGTAAAGAAAATTCATATTTAGTTATTCATATATTGACTGCAGCCAGAATTGTATTTGCACATAATTGGAAGAGTGAAGAGATACCTACAGATGTGAAATTAGGAAAATATTAGAATGTGTGGAAATGAATAGATTAACATTGACAATTAAGGAGAAAGAGCAAACTGAATATTATATGGTATGGGATTTATTCTATCAATGGTTAAATAACAAAAATGGAAGCCAGAAACAGAGAAACCAAATAAAGGTGATGTGTTAAAAGAGATAAGTTAATATGATGGCTAATATGTTGAATACTACTATGTTAATATTGTATAATCAATTAGTATAATTAATAGGTGGACATTACTACATTAAATGTTGCAGAATTAATATGTAGTGAAGGATGTTGCAATTTTGATTATTGTTTCACAAAGATGTTTGTACCCAGACAACACGCTGTTCAACTGAAGATGGAATGATTGTATTAAAAATTTTAAAAAAATGTTTTTTTTTTTAAAAAGGATAAAGTGCCATGTAGTGGAAAGAGAGAAAGTGAGATATGATGAGAGAGAGAGAGGTGTATGTTCTTTGACCTCCTGCAACACACAAGGGTGGGAAATGCTATCTGAAAGATAGAAAAGTAGAGGAGCAGTGGAGACAGACCGTATCTTAATTTATTCAGGGAGCTGAGTCAGCCTAATATGGAATTATCCAGATCTTCTCTAAAAACTGGGCATAAAACTGCTGCTGTAACTGTAAGGGCAGAGAGGAGGCAGAAACTATGAAGTTCTTTACTGGACTTATAAAATGCATTTGGAAACCTTAGTCACCTTTAAATTCTTCTGTGTATATGCCAAACTAACAAAAGGAAAAGATAAATACACACCACAATAATAACGATATATTGTAACTTCAAACTTAATAGCTATAGTTATAATTAAAAAGAGAAGAAAGAAAAAGGCCAAAAATCTTGTTACGAACAGAATACTTCTGAAAACATTGTTTGTACTGTACAAAACATTGTCTCTTTGTAAAAAGATCTCCTGCAAATGCTGACAGATGACATATAAGAGTAATCCACTCCTGCATATTAAGCAAACATCATGGACGTGTCCATGTCAGTAATGGGATTCAAATTTTTTTTACTATCGGTTCTGTGGGCGTGGCTTGCTGGATGTGGTGTGGCTTGGTGGGCGTGGCATGGGAAGGATACTGCAAAATCCCCATTCCCTCCCGACCCCACTAACCTGCTTTCCAGCTCCGTTCTCCAGTGCAGGGCAACCAAAGAAGATCCAGCCAATCATCTGGGACTCAGGAGGCAGAGAAGAGATGGGGTGGGGTCAGTCAGAGGTGGTATTTGCCGGTTCTCTGAACTACTCGAAATTTTCACTACCGGTTCTCCAGAACTGGTCAGAACCTGCTGAAGATCACCTCTGGTCCATGTAGTCACTAAAAATCTCAACTCAAGGATGTCTTCATACTTTGCCCAATAATTTTCTCATTAACAATCACAAATCAATTAAAGATTCCAACCAATTAAAGGTCCATTGGAGAATGTAGAGTTTGCAATATTTAACCTGGTTAATTGGGAGCCAGGTGATGATGGAACAAGTAACAACTCACTGAAATATTCATTTTCTACATGTACTTCATCTGTTTGTTTTTTTATTGACCAATACCGGAACTGATTTTTTAACTTATCTCTTTAAAAAAAGATAAAATTGAATTACCCAAGAAAGTTGGAAATTATTCTTTCCCTATTTCCCTTCCTTTTTCCTTCTCTTTTCTTTTCTGCACTTTTATTATCTTCCAAGCATTTTTCTTTCTTTTTCTTTTTCTGTTTAACTTTTAACATTGTATCTTTTTAGAAAACCAGTAAAGTTATTTAAAATGTTGAATACAATTTAAACCATTTTTCCCAGCATCGGTTGGAAATTCCCAGCATTGTATGTTCAAACCATTGGGGAAATCCTGCTTGCAAAAGGCAGCACTCTTTTTTTAAAAAAAAAGGGGTGGGGGGTTTGCAATGTGAGATTTTTTTCCCCAGAAGCCATGCAGGTTTTTCTCACAAAGAGGGCTTTTCTTGGGTCTTTTCTGCCAAGCGATTTGTGCCTTCATACCTCTTTTAAAAGTTGCTGGTGAACCATAGATGGCTAGAATCTCTCTTTCATGGGTAAAATTTTATACTTGTCAATTTTAGAAACTTTGTTGTACCAGCCCCAGACTGCTTGACTAGCTGATAGATTTGGGAATGGTGTATCCAAAGAGTTTAGAGGCATTCTGCTCTTGGATACAACAAATACCACTATTTAAAAAACAGTTCTCAACATTGCACGCTTTGTTCTGACTTGCAAAGTATTTTAAAAAACCCGTCTCCCTGTCTGAATTCTTGAAACTGTTTCAAAAGAAGTACATATATTTACTTCAGTCCGTTGCAAGTTTTTTTGTATTCAGGCTTCCAAGTCTGAATTATCATGTTGTCATCATATCAATTAGACCACAGATCATGTCATAACTGTAGCAATGCTGCAATTGGACAAAACGTTACATTCCAATTATATGGCTCATAGGTTTCAGGAGGCTGTTTAATTTTTATACAATTAATGCAAAGAATCCGCATAACTTCCACAGATCATAATTCTATCAGCGATTCAAGAAACATTTTGATGGTTGTTCATGATTTAATATAAACTATAATAGCTTTTGTCCTAGCATATCATAAGCCAGCTGTTACTGTAAGGTCTGCCTCTCCACCTTCTACCTCATATATGGAGACAGTTGCCCCAATGCAGTTGCCCCTGAATTATTAAATCTTTCTGTTCCCCTTTTTTCATCAAATTATATTCCTAGCTAAGAACACAGCTCACAAATGCCCAATGCCCAAATGGTGATTATTGTTCAGTTGCCTCAAAATGTTCCTGAAGTTTTGTTTTATTTCATCAAAGATGGCCCCTAGGTTGCACTTTAAATTTTTAGATATAATGTATCTTGGTAGTGTTTCTCTGGGGGCATTTATTTGTTTTATTGGATGCCACTTGACCCCAAATGATGTGAGGTAGCGCACAATATACCAAACAATATAAATGTAACATAAAGAAAGAAAAGCAAAATGGTGAACCCAGGCAAAATCCCAAACATCCCACCAGCAACCCACAACCCAAAAATGGGGCACTAGAATAGAATTCTTTATTGACAAATGTGATTGGTCACACGAGGCATTTGTCTTGGTGCAAATGCTGTCAGTGTACACAAAAGAAAGATACATTCATCAAGAGTACACATACACCCAAAGTACACATATAGACTGGGTGAAACCAGGCTCAATAGCAGTAACTGTGAGAGGGATCTTGGAGTCTTAGTGGACAACCAGATAAATATGAGCCAGCAGTATGCAGCAGCCGCCAAAAAAGCTAATGCAATCCTAAGGTGTATTAACAGAGGGATACAGTCAAGATCAAAGGAAGTTCTAATACCACTCTATAAAGCCTTAGTAAGACCACACCTAGAGTACTGCATCCAGTTATGGTTACCACACTGTAAAAAAGATGTTGAGACTCTAGAAAAAGTACAGAGAAGAGCAACCAGGATGATTAGGGGACTGGAGGCTAAAACATACAACGAACGGGTGCAGGAACTGGGCTTGGCTAGTCTAGTAAAGAGAAGTACCAAGGGGGATATGGTAGCAGTCTTCCAATATTTGAGGGGCTGCCACAGGGAAGAAGGGGTCAAGCTATTTTCTAAAGCTCCTGTAGGCCAGACAAGGAATAATGGATGGAAACTGAACAAGGAGAGATTTAACCTGGAAATAAGGAGAAACTTTCTGACAGTGAGAACAATCAACCAACGGAACAGCTTGCCCTCAGAAGTTGTGGGAGCGCCATCACTTGAGTCTTTCAAAAAGAGATTGGACTGCCATTTGTCAGAAATGGTGTAGGGTCTCCCGCTTGGGCGGGGGGTTGGACTAGATGACCTACAAGGTCCCTTCCAATTCTGATTATCTGTATTATCTGTATCTGTGTATAAGAGTCAAGAATCATAAGGTACAACGCTTAATAATAGTCATAGGGTACAATAAGCAAACAATAAGATAAAAAATAAAATAAATAAATAAATAAATAAATAAAAGTAAATAAAATAAATAAAAATAAGATAAAAATTAAAAATAAATAAAAAGACCTTGTTGATGATCCAAACACTGTCAAGGATCTTGGAGTACTCATCTCTAATGATCTAAGTGCTAGAGCCCACTGTAACTACATAGCCAAAAAGGCAATAAGAGTTGTTAACCTAATCTTACATAGCTTACATAGCTTTTTCTCTGGTAATATTACACTACTAACTAGAGCATACAAAACATTTGCTAGACCAATATTCGAATACATCAGTCTGGAACCCACATTACGTATCTGATATTAACACAGTTGAGAAAGTCCAGAAATATTTCACAAGAAGAGTTCTCCACTCCTCTACTTGTTGCAGAATACCTTATGCCACCAGACTCGAAATTCTAGACCTAGAAAATCTAGAACTACGCTGCCTTCCATCCGATCTAAGTATAGTATATAAAATCATACGTTGCAATGTCCTACCTGTCAATGAATACTTCAGCTTCAACCATAACAATAACAAGAGCACACAATAGATACAAACTCAAGGTTAACCGCACCAAACTTGATTGCAGGAAATACGGCTTCAGCAACAGAGTGGTCAATGTCTGGAATACTCTACCTGACTCTGTGGTTTCTTCCCCAAACCCCCAAAACTTTAACCTTGGACTGTCTACTATTGACCTCACCCCTTTCCTAAGAGGTCTGTAGGGGGTGTGCATAAGTGCACAAACATGCCTACCGTCCCTGTCCTATTGTTTCTTTTATTTTTTATTTTTCTTATAGGTATCCATGTATTCATAACTATGTTTTTACTTATACCTATTATCTTGTAAGCAATAGACAAACCAAATAAATAAATAAATAAACAATAAACAAACAAACAAATAAATAAATGAATAAATCAACTAGTCACCCTAGCCGAAGGCCTAGCAGAACAGACAGATCTTTGTGCGCCTTCAGAAAACCAAAAGGCTGGGAGCCATCCAGACCTCAGTAAGAACCTCATTCTAGACGCAATAGAGAAGACACACTTCCTGGGTCCTGATGGGTGGCCTTGTTTGGTTGTTTATTTCAGTAAATAAGAAAACAAGATATTAAAATGCACATGATAAGGAGTATGTCCATATTTGGCTGTGTCATACAGGTGAATGGAGAAAGCAATTATGATTGGAAGAGTTAGTTGGCAAAAGGAAAACAGGTCATCAGTGCTGACATCAGCCAGAGCATAGAAAAACTCAAAGGAGTTGTGCAAGTTCAGAAGATGTGGAGAGACCTGGCCCTAGAATCACCAAGTGTAGGACTTGACTGAACGGATAACATCATCATCATCATTATAGTATACGAAACAAGCTAAAATCGTAATTTTATGATACCACTGGACAAGGTGAGGCTTCATTTTTAGTTCCTTTTTTTCCCCTAGAGTTTTCAAAGACAAAATAGGTATCAGTACAAATTTTAGCATTTAACCTGCTCACTGCCCAGTGGGCTTTTCAGGCTTGTTACGAATGACTTAAGGCTCTGCAGAATCAAACTCAAGGCCTGGGGACCCGATCCAGTCTGAGGGGTGCTGAGATCTGGCTCGCGGGACCACCCTAGAAACAAAGGAGTGGCTCGTTGTGCCTCTGCCACCGAAAACAGAGCTCAGAGCAACTGCCTCCTGCTGCCTCTGCCGGCAAAAACGGAGCTTGGAAGGGCTCCATTTTTGGATGCAACAGCCTCCTGCTGCTCTCTGCCAGTGAAAATGGCAGAGGGCAGCAGGAGGCCATCACAGCTGAAAATGGAGTTCAGGAGCCCATTTTTGCTGGCAGAGTGCTTGGGGTCCCACAGATGCCCCCGACACAAGTGATGTCAAGCTGGCCATGCCCACCTTGGCCACGCCCACCCCAACCCCTGAGGTCAAACACAACCGTGATGTGGCTCTCAATGAAATCGAGTTTGACACCCCTGATCTGAGGCATCCATTTTATCCATTTTAGTCCAGCCTGAAGAGGCTTTCAAGTGCCATCTGTGAGGTGCTGAGGGTGCTTTTTTCTCTGCTTCACATTAGATTGGCTTTTAATCATATCTAGAAATTCGGTGTAAATCCATGTTCAACACATATTCCAAGTAATTACTTTTATTCAAATTTCTTGTTCGCTGTGCACTGGCTTTCTGTGTTAAATCAACAAAACAGCATTTACTAAGAAGATAACACATTGCAGGAGAACATTTGAAGTTAACCACTTTTATATGTGTCAAGAAAAAAGTGGAAAAAAACCAGCCAGAAAAGAAGTAGAAATTCAAGTGTTTCATGGATTTATGAACCTGGTTATTATCCTTGCAAGATAAACAATTTTTGACGTCATATTTTTGTTTCAGTATACATTTTGGAGGTGCACCTGGTCTAGAAAGCAGGTTATTGGCAACAGAAGGTAAGTGTCCTGAGGGGAAAGAAAAGAAACAACAAGAATTTTTTTCTGATTTATAGAATCTGTAGGTCAGCCCTCCAAATAGCAACCCTAAAATCTGATTAGTTGCTAAAACTGCCCTTGGTGGAATCGGATTCTTTTTAAAGCAATGGGCAGGGGTCTTCAAACTTGACAGCTTTAAGACTTGTGGACTTCAACTCCCAGAATTCCTCCTCCAGTCATGGCAGCTCAGGAATTCTGGGAGTTGAAGTCCACAAGTCTTAAACTTGCCAAGTTTGAAGACCCTTGGCAATGGGGAAAGATGTACTTGCTAAGCACTTTTAATAGAAAATTATGTTGACTGCATTGAGACTTTACTTTTAATTCAACCACCTCAGCCCAGCTCGGGAGAGGTGGTAGGCAGAGGTGGTATTCAGCGGGTTCTGACCAGTTCTGGAGAACTAGTAATAGGAGAACCAGTTCTGGAGAACCAAAAATTTTGAGTAGTTCAGAGAACTGGCAAATATCACCTCTGACTGGAGATTTTACAGTATCCATCTCCTGCCATGCCCACCAAGCCAGGTCCACAGAACCAGTAATAAAAAAATTTGAATCCCACCAATGGTGGTGGGGATGATTTAAATTGGTAAAAAATCGCCCCTGGTTGCTGTTACTATTATACCAAGCCATGCCCACAGTCATGCCTACAGAGTCGGTAGGGAAAAAAATTGAATTTCACCCCTGTATTGTACCATTATTTAACAGGGTTGTGCAGAGATCTAGATTCAAAGCCCAAAATATGGAATGTGTATGGACATCTACGCTAGAAACAGGGAGACACTGCTCAGGCTGCTTTAAGACATTCCTGACAGGCTCCATAGATGCACAAGGAAATGCTGTTTTGAATCAGATTCCTCCATAGCCAGGAGTGGGATTCTACAGGTTCGCACCTATTCGCATTCTAAGCAGTTTGGAGAACCGGTTGTTAGAAGAAATTACTGGCCTAATCCTGTAAGGAAGGCAGGAAGGAAACATTCTGGTGTTGCTTACAGAAACTGCCTCTCCGTTAACCCTTATTACATTCTTGGCAGGACTAAACTTCCTGTCTCAGGAACATCTCTGGAGTTTTTTTTTCCCCCTCCTTTGCTGGCACTTTGCTTGTGTGGAGTGACCATTCAAAGTTACAATGGCACTGAAAAAAGTGACTTATGACCATTTTTCACACTTACGACTGTTGCAGCATCCCCACAGTCATGAGAGGCCAGGCGAGGAGATGCGTGCCTCGATGTGA